AATTAAAAAGAGTTAGAGAGGTAAAATACTGTAACTAGAGGGATGTTTCGGGGATATTTTAGGTTTTAATATTGAAATAGCTCCTCCTCTTGCTGCAGTTTGAGAAGGTCTGTCGGATCTAATCTATGGATGTAATGCACATTTCTGTTATGAAAGCAATGTCTATATTATACATTTTATTGATATATTTTATAAAAATGATTTTTGGATGATTCCTTTTATATTCCAGTTTAGGAGAGTGAAAGAAGTTCATTTATCGTGAGACATGTTTCTACTTGTTTTGAGTATTACTGATAAGAGATAAATATGGGTGTGACGCAAGAGCTATTTGGATTTAGTTGTTGATTACGGGAATAAAGGCTTTGATTTCTTGGTTTTTATTTTCTGAGATTATGTATGGACGTAGGAAGGTGCTGTGGGGGTAGAGGGGGTGCAGAAGCAGAAAATGGGTGTTGTGGATAAGTTCGAATAATAAATTGTTGAGGAGATGGAGGGGGCAAGTCTCGAGGAAGCGGAGAGGTAAGGCATTGTTGGGTAGGGATTCTGGACTGAGGAGTGTTGGCACTAGAGGAAATTGGAGGAAAAGGAGAGGTGGAAAAGAAGAGGGGGATTGTTATGCATGAAGGCTCCTTGCCTTTTTGTAAATAACTAGAGTTGCTAGTAATATAAATTATGTGCTTTGTAAATAAATAGTGATGACGCTATGTGATCGTCATTGAAATTTACGCATATGGGGTAAAAATTAAGTTGTATTTACCCGGTTAATCGAAGTTATCGCATCTTATACGTTTTGGAATTATAGTACAATTTTGCGTCTGCCAATTGTTGTGCTGAGCTCAACTGTTATCATGGCGCTGAGAAGTCCATTGATGCTAAAGATTTTTTCGGAGGTTGATCTGTCATTCGCTAAAGATGGACATAATAGCGTGAGAGATTTATTAGGTCTTACGAGGCTAATTCCTTGACGTTCTGAATATTAGCCTTGTATGCTGAAGAAAAATCTCATCTTCTTCGTTGTCAGTTGGCACTCCGACAACTTCTTCACTAAAGGTATTGACTGATGGGTCTCAGAACGTTTGATATTGGCACTTATTCTGGTTGAGAATGTGAATAGTTTCTCTGTGATGAAGTTATCTCCAATCTCCGAGGTTAACTTGCTAACGAGTTTCTTATAATTTGTTGCTTCATGAATAAAACTTGGAGGTGATTTTTTGTTTTTAGGCTCTTGAGGAGTAGTCGAAATTTGGGGCGTCTCCTCTCGATCTTCATCCGCCTGATTCCGGAACGGGGCAAATCTCTTCTTGGTTGAGACACTCATTACTCTGGGACGGATGCCCCTCTAGGGGACTTTGCATTTCAGCCCTATGGAGCACTGTGATAGCTTTTGAGCGCGAGCAGAATTCACCGCTGCGCTGAGGGCGTTGGGCTAAACGCAACTTGTCGCCGACTGCCGTCGCGCAGCAGAGTGAGCACCTCTGCTGTCGGTGCAACAACCTAACGAAGTAAAGGGATCTTCGCTGGTCGGCGCTTGCTCAAATGCACTGTACGACGGTCGGCGAAAGAATGATTTTAAAAACATGATACTAATGAAAAAGCCTGAACTGAAAATGGTTTCCGCTCTAAAATACTTTCTAAATCCGCCTCATAATCTCAAATTAATTTATCATTCTTCTCTTAATTTAGTTCATAATTTACGTATAAGACAAGTGAAGGCGATAAGAGCATAGGGAAAAAATCATGCTCAGTAGTCGTAGCTGAGGTAGTGGTATCACCTGGTAATTCAAGTAAAACCATGTGCCATTACCTCATTAAAGAAACAAAAAGAGCCTTTGTAAATTACATTAACTGCCTGAACATGATTCGTTATCGTGTACGTACCTCTATATGCAAGGCGGTAGTTACTGAGATTAATAGATTGACTTGTACGGATACATCGCCAGCTATGATCATTAGTCCCGTTTGTTTAGTGAATGTGATATTCAGGGGGGAGGCGATGATTCGTTACCCGTTGTAAAGTGAGATCCGTTGTCGACATACATGCCGGCATGAGGGGGATGTCGCTTGAGGTAACTCCCCACAGCTGTACCCCGCCTCAGTCAGGAGATACTCTAAGCTCGCTATTAGTCTAGTAAGTGTGTCAGGAGAGATAATAGGAAGCACAAGGAAGTAATCGCACGCAATTGGTAGCCCGTTTGTTAGGAACTTTTCAAACATTCGCCGGGTATTTATCAGAAAACTACCTATCCGAGCAGCCGGCAGCTAGAATTGTCCTCTTGACAGCGAATGAACTCGATCTATTTTTTTAGCTAGTGTAAAAAGCCTGTTACCATTGGTATTTGAACCCGCGGACCTCCAGGTCAGAGTCGCTCAAAAGACAGCGGCAATGAGCTAAAGAGAGCCGGTAGGTTTTCGTCAAGAGGAAGCAGTCCTCCTCCTCCCCGCTGCGCGACGCGAGCCCGATGCAGTGTTCGCGCTCGGGGATTCCATTATTCGCGGCGTCGCGCGCGAGCACCTCCGGAAATGAGAGGGTCACGTCCACACAACGCGCTCACGATCGCGGCACGAGGCGAGGCGCGCCGCTGTCGACGCTCTGTTGGCCCTCCTTTCTGCCCGCATTCGTTCTCCCTTCAGCGGCCTCGGCCCCGTTCAGCTCTCCCTCGCTGTCAGATAGTCCTCACAATCTCGTTCAGGAGCTCTGCAAAGTATATCCATCCCCTCCATTTTTCATCATCTCGTCTTCGCCTCTTCGTTCTGAGGCTTTGTGACATGGCCTTGTACTAATCTAGTTCATCCTCCTCCTCGTCGACTATTCACTCCCATAATTGTGAATTCGCCATTTCGATTTCTTTTGACTCCATCTTTCACCATGTCTCTGCTCCGTCCTGTCATTAATGCAAACATTATAGGCCAATCGCGCTAACTTGAGAGAATACAGCAGTCATCAATGCCATCGGTGTCGTGTAGGAAAGTTTCAAATGTCTCGTGGAGAAAGACTCGCCCAACATGGATTTCTGCAATTCTTTTTTCAAGTGAAAAATCTGCACGTTCTGGACTTACATAGTTCGAACGCATTATTATATGTGCGGTAACTGCAAACTGCAACTTTTTCTGAAGTTTGTAATGGGTGGTAGTTATTTGCAGTTTAAAATGTCGGTACGAAATCATTTTGATTTCCGTCTAACACAAATCAGAAACACAAACATTGGATTACCTTTGTCCATGAAATAGCTTCCCTCAGACCATATTTGTGATTTTTATTCATGTACTACGGGTTATTATTTTACTATACAATTTGTTTTTCCCCTACTTCTTTATTAAAGCAACATTTATTCCGACTACATACAATGCATCACGTCCCCGATTTCATTGCGTCATCCCAATCAAAGTCCCCTTTTAGCTGGCGTCTCAAAATTTCGTAGCTGGGGCTTTTATATCAGGACTTACTGCCGGGATTCTTTTACCGTTCTCATGTGTTATTCACCCATTCTGCACCTTCTATCTTTGAGAACATTCCTGAAGTCGATTTTTACTCATCTGTTATGCAAACGAACATTTTAACTGGTAAATAGCAAAGTCTATTCGGTCTAAGAACTTCTCAATCAGAATTCACCTCATAACTCACAATTCTCCTCAAAAGGATACTTATACGGTCTCACAACAAATTAGTTCAAGCATCCATCCATCCATGAAGCAACTGTTCATCCAAATGTCTTTTCTGTGTAAAACACAAACATCATATACTTACACTTGTACAAGGAGATTGATGGCTTCTCAAAATCAATACAGTCTTTGTCATGTTTCTCTTTCAATATCTCACCCTCATGTGCTTCTTCAATATCAAACATATCCGAACTCCAGGGCCAGACTCTTGACTTCAGATGCAGGGCCATTCTTGAGAAGTAGAGATGCTTATAAGCTCTACGCTCTCGGCTGGTCTCCCGGCATGTGTGGGAGTACAGTGAATGTACTGTTGGTGTGTGTAAGTAAGGAGGCGTGAAAGGACAAGGAAGAGAGAGAACATCGCACGCGTTTGTTAGGGTACTGCTCCGGCATTCGTCAGATGTTGATCGGAGAAACCACGGAAAACTTCCGATCAGAGCAGCCGGCCGCTAGAATTCTTATCCAGACAGCGACTGAATTCAACCTAGCCATCTCGCTAGTGTAAACATCCTGGCACTATCGGGACTCGACTACGAGTGCTTCCCGGTCAGAGGAACTGCTCTGACATCAGTGAATGATGCCCTGCATATTACTCGAGCTCGGTATATTACTCGAATGATTAGTGTCGACTAACGCAAACAAGCCTCAATAACATTTTGAGGTTGGTGAAGTGTGAATCAGTAAAGGGCAGAGCTGCGAAGGGAAATATTTTACATTGAAACTCTCACCAAAATTGTCACTTGTGACTACTCGCCTTCCTTACCCTTGTATTAGATTTAAGCATACTACTTGGTTACTCATAAGCATCCAAAATCATACGTATAGAACAGTTTTACTAAACTATACATTAGTGAACACAATAAATATAATTAAAAAATAAAAATCTTACCTACTCTGCAAAGACGAAGTCTTAGAAATATGTGAATTGCAATGACCGCGAAAATTTACACTATATTTCTGAAAATATTACTTATCTGCACAAACCATAAGATTTTTTTCTTTTATGTTCTTCCTTTTTATTTTTAGTATGTAAACGGCGTAGGGTTGTGAAACTGAAAAACACACAAATCTACAATTCAGAAGATTTGTCGAATTCGTTGTTTTCCTTCATTCCAGTTTTGCTCTTCTTTGCAGTCATTTCTTTTATTAATTGTTTGAAAATTAGTTTAATATCTGACATTTTGATTATAAATGCAGATTTGACTTTTGATTGTTTATTAATAGAAGGCGTAGAAAAATATATGAATAACATATTTTTGAAACTTTTCGATATTAAGATATTAAAGACTGTTCAGGAGTCAAAATTTGAGAACTTATCTGTAACATTACGATATTGGCAGTGGTGAGCGTGGACGGCCCGGTGTTCACGATCAGCCGCGTGAACCGCTTGCACATGGGCGCCTACCTGTGCATCGCCTCCAACGGCGTCCCGCCCACCGTCTCCAAGCGCATCATGCTCATCGTGCACTGTGAGTACTCCTGTGGAATTTCTTCCGACGATGATATTTCAAAGTGGCTTTTCATATCGTATCATATGAATAAAAAAAATTAATTGTATTAACATCTTCCTCCCCCAGCAACCAATTCAAATAACGCGACGTTTAGTTGTGTAATTATTGCTATTTAAAATAGTTTATGACAGCCATTTTCGAAAGAATTTATAAAATTGTATTTTAGCTTGAATTAATTACAATAGGTGGTGTAATAAAAACAAAGAATTTAGACCTAGAAACACATGCACATTAAATTGTAATTATTGTTCCTATTAGCGTGCTTTAACTCAAATGTAATATGTAACTTATGTTGTTATAACACAATAATTTTTACCACCTAAATTATGCATTTCCAACATAAAAGAACATCACATAAAATGAAGTGTGTACTTGTAGAAGATAAATGCCTAAAGAACGTCACTCTTGTAGTTCATTATGAGATAAAGAATGCTTTCTTTGATGTTTGTTCAGTATTGTTTGATATTTAGCTTTTTGTAAGCACAATGTACGGTTGTCCAGTTCCGCCAATGATCTGGATCCAAAACCAACTGGTCGGCGCGTACGAGGGGCAGCGCATGACCCTCGAGTGCAACTCGGAGGCATACCCGCGCTCCATCAACTACTGGACGAGGGAAAAAGGCGAAATCATCGCCCAAGGCAAGTTGGACCGTAGAACCCGTGGCTGGGAATTTGTGTGTATTCTGTTACGAACAATAACAAGGTGTCTCAAAGTAAATCTTTCAAACTTCTATACTTTTTGACAATGTGAATGAATTTCGTGAAAAATCTCATATCGAGGTGTGATCTGTACCCCTGACCTGGAAACTCGTTCTATACCGGTATTTGGCAATTACACGTTCTGACGCAATAAAAAAAAATCACGAACTTGCCAAACATCACTTTAAAATGACTACGCAGCTTATCTTGGCGAACAAGTTCACATGAATGACATTCTTCATGAGATTCGCAAGACATATTCACTATTCAAAGACTTATCTCAAATGTTGCTAAAGTTCACGTCGATTTATGTTATAGTCTAGACAATCCCATCTTCACTAACACTATGATAACTTTTTTAGTACTTTAAATTCACTTTACATTTGCTAAAAAGCGTTTTATTTACTTCAAGTGGATGAATTTAAAACTCGAACGGTAACGATTCTTTAACCCTACAACACGCAGGCAGGGCCCCTAAGGCCCTGTAAAAAAATATTTGAGAAATTATTTAAATTTTTGTAATCCTAGCTACTTTGCTTCATAGGAATTCCTGGCATTATCCTTCTTCTACAATTAGATTGCATAATCGTCAGAATTTGTTTATTGATTTCCGAGTAATAGTGAAATTTTCATCTCTACTACATGAACGCATAAGCAGCCACCGATTGTTGATGCTACACTTTTGCAATTTAGAGGCAACTGAACTTTGGACGTGAGCAGTAGTAATAAAAGTGCGGTAGTGAGTGTCTATTTGATTAGAACCATGGTTTCTAAAATTTTTGAAGATATTGTGACAGAGAGACTTGAGGAGGAAGATGTAATCAGTGATGGGGAAAGTGAAGTTTCAGAAGTAGATGAGACGAATTACTACTATTTTGAAGAAATGTACCCCAAATGTAAGAAATTGCTGCAAATTTATCATTTTCGGCACGAATCTGTCTTGTTTTCCTATCATCAAGTCTTATTGCTTTTATAAAGCTTTTAAATCTATTTACAAACACTGCAGCCCTGTATGCAGGATTTCCTCTCTCATCTAAAAATAACTCTGGTAGGTACATCCCAGTTTTTTCCACACCAGCTAATAAAAGAATTCCTAAGAAAGCATTCTTATCATTCGCAGGAACGTTTTTCCATATTTTACTTTTCTGTACTGACATTTTTTTGCCTTCCAAATTTGAACAAAGGTCAATTTCTTCTATAATTTCGTTAGAAATAAAGTAATTCCAAGCCTGTTTTGGATTCACAGTAGTAACACCTTCTATGGGGCCAGGAAGACATCTTATAATGTTATGGGATAGAGTGCGGGAAGAAACCGGAGCTGCACGAAACCAAGCAGTTCCACTGCGACTTATAAAAGGTGTTGGACTTGAATAGCTAGGAGTATTACTCACAGACGGGCCGTCATCAGAATCGGAAGTTGTAGTGCTGTCATCTTCACTCGCAGACTACGTGAATACTATTATTCCAGCAACCTTTCTAACAGTTCATGAGCAACTAATGCCTTTCAGGGGGAGATGACCCTTTATTTAGTATATACCCAACAAACTAGCAAAATATGGAGTATAGATATTATGGCTATGTGAAGCAAATACCTCGTATGCCATTGATGGTTGCATCTACACGGGAAGGAAACCGAATTAGCCTGTACAAAAGAATTTGGGTGCCAATGTGAATAATTTAGTGAAAACCATTGAAGGATCGTCGAGAAACGTAACAATGGACAATTTCTCTACCAGTTTTTCCTTGGCCCAATATCTTCTCCAAACGAAAATTACACTTGTTGGCACACTTAGACCAAACAAACCTGAGATTCCCAATGATATTAAAGGTACTGCTTCTCGAGAAGTAAATTCTTCAATTTTTTGTTTCAAGGATAGTACTACTATGGTCAGATACGCTACAAAGAAAAATAAAGTAGTAATACTGGTCACTACCATGCACCATGATCAAGCAGTAGATAAAAATAACGCAAAAGAAAAAGCCACACATTGTACAATTTTACTACAAGACCAAAGGAGGTGCTGACAAAATGGTTCAGATGGTAAGAAATTACTCATGCAAACGACAAACCCATTGGTGGCTATTTGCTTTATGGATGAATATCATGTATGTTGCAGCTTTGAATAGTCAAGTGCTTTTCTGTATGCAGCATCCAGAGTACAACTCAAACAGATCAGACAAACGCAAATTTTTTAAAAGATGTTTCAGCTTATTCAAGACTATATGGAAGAAAGGTTAAAAATCCCTAACCCACACAATGGCCAGATGTGGTATAAAACCACTTTCCGGAAATCTACAAACACAAGGTTTACTTCTGAGAAAAAAGTGTTCCTTCTGCCCATAACAGGCACAGAAGAAGTAAAATGCTATGTGAAAAATGCAAAAATTATACTTGCAAAGAACACAGCTTCAGAGTTTGTAAAAGTTATCTGTGAAATATGAATAATCATGTCCTGATTTAACATGTTTACTTTCGAATATTATTCTGGTCGTTTTTGTGTATTAATAAAAATAAACTTTTCTGCAATATTAACAGTATATAAGATTTTAATTCGCTCCTGCCATCTCCAAAATAATATATTAAAAATTGGTTCTAAAAATCATTGAAATATATACAATAAAACATAGGGCCTTGGAGGCAGTGCTTATGTATTTATGTTGAATTTTGAGACCATTTTTTCTAGGGTTAACATCTTAATGAGTCATCTTAATGAGTCTCTTTTTATTGGCGCTTACATATATACCTTTTTCAGATAATAATTTGTAATCATTTTTCTCAACAGAGGGTTATAATCACCTTCTACTTCTCGTACTGGCATTATTTGGATCAAGGCTAGAAATATTCTATGACAAATGTTACAACTCGATGTACTCGTACAGCCTATCATTGATTACAATAGCATTATAGACTTTCATGAAATGATTCCACTTCCTTATGCAATAGATTTAAAAAAATATAATGTTCTCGTAGTAATAGTCGAGGAAATACATTACTTGATTTGCCGATTCGGTTGTAAATTGAACACTGTTACGAGTTTCAAATCATTGCGGGAACGTACTTTGTTCCTCAGTTTTGTTTTGTTTTGCGGTTTGTGCGAGTCGTGGAAAGCTTCCTGTTAAACCAACAGCGGCATTATTGGCGTTGTAACTAGCAACATAGTGGGTCAAAATACTTAGTTAAACAAAGAAATGTTACTTGAAAGCAGTTGATGCCACATTACGAGATGCTAGGACTACAATATACTGGGTTAAACTACGAATGCAAATACTTGTTTATGACGAAACATTTATAACTATTAAATAATATTGAAACGATTTTAAAGTGATTTTATTACAATTCTTCTTTTTATAGGAATCAAATATGAGCCAACAACGTCAGAGAATGCGTACAAGGTTCACATGAAGCTCACCATTAAGTCGGTGAGCGCCACTGACTTCGGCTCTTACAAGTGCGTCTCCAAGAACTCTCTGGGCGACACAGACGGCACCATCAAACTCTATCGTGAGTACCAAACTATCCTTTCTTCTTTCGTTTTTTCCTGTTCTTTCTGGGATACTTTGTTGATGGAATATTGAAATCATTACTTGCATCCTTAAACAATCATTTACCATCACATCCATTATCATGAAAAAAGAAACAAAGAAGACACGTTTAAAATGATCCATTTGTTGGGTTTATGTGCATGAATTGAAGTACCTGTTATTAATATTTAAATTAAGTGAATAATGGGAATGATATGTTTTATATTTATTTTATATCAAAAAAATGTGTGGGACGTATTATTGGGTGTAGATTAGATTAGATTTATTTAGTCAAAAAACAGTAAAAACTGTATGTGACGTTGGGGGAAAAGATTATCTGCACACGTTTTCTTACGTTCCAGAATTCCTTCCCGTTATTTTAACTATAGTTGAAATATGAGTAAAAGTAATAAATAAAAATAAATTTTAAAAATTGCAAGATTAGCAATATTTGAAAAATAGTCATTTTCGTTTCTGAGTTATAGAAAACTTATTTGCATCGGTACATGAATTGCAAGTATGATTTTTCTGCATTGCTAACAAAATAGCAACTCGCCCTTACCTCTACTCTTACCATTACAAGCAAAAGGGAGAGTTCAACAAAACGTGCGCATAGTAAAGCTACATTTATGTACGAGAAAGCTATGATTGTTTTCTTAAATTCTGAGATATCTTCACTAACCCAAATACAATTTGAATTATGAATACAGGTGAAAACGAGAGTTTTTGGCAAAAGTGATAAGAAAACATTAGCTCCTGTGTTACAAAAACTATTTGCGAACGAAAAAAGCTGTATATTTTGGCTATTTTCTTCATCGTGCCCTGCGTGAAGAAATAGTCTTACTGCCACGGATTTTATTTGCATAAAATCAATTTCTTATATTAACTTCAACCTCCAATATATTTTGTCGATGTTCCGGAAAGCCTGTACGTTGACGATTGCATCTTAAATTTGTTATGCGTGAATATTAAATGCGTTCGATGAATGCCAACTTTCGGTTAAGACTGCAATAATCAACGCGAGTACAACCAATTGGGAAGGAGGAGCTCACGTAGGAATAACCACGATCATCGAAGCGTCGAGAAGCGATATACCTAATTGGAATTAAAATGCATAGAAACCTCAGCAATCTAGTCACTGAGGCTCTCATTTAATTACCTCCTTCGCCAATAAAGACTTGACGAGTTGTCGCATGATTGCGCCGTGTACTTCGTAGGCATAGGTGGGACCCGTTCGTAATCCAACAGACCTCAGGGGAAATAATTAGAGCAAATCGTTGCTCCAAGTGCAGGGGCCCCTGCGGGCGCCGACCGCACGAGGGACGCGCAGCAGGGTGGAGGGGGAATGGAAGACAAAGGAAAGGATGAGGGCGAATTAAGTCATGTTGAGGTTGTGGAATATTGCCTAGATGACTGGGAGAACATTAGCAGAAACTGCGACGAGAAGTTTTATGCGTCATCTTCTGTTTTCTCATCAGACGAGAGAGTTCTGGTTGAACTCTTTGACACAGTTGACAAAGATTATTACTTTGCCGAAAGAATCAATGAGTATTGAAGATGTCATGGTTACCTGTGTCTGGACGAAAACAAACATTATTCGTACGAATTTAACGCCATTCATGCTTTCTGCGTTTTTGCTTTGCGTCTCAGAGCGCTGATTCGAGGAAACTGCACGATAATTGCTTGCTGCCAACCTACCATCAACTTTCAATGCGCCCAATACATGTATTGTTTAGCTTCTCGGCACGATCGCTACGAAAATGGTCACCGCTCTCCTGATTTTGAAACATTGCGAGCTCGTCGCGTCTAATGTAGAAAAAATTAAATTCCGGGAAATCTGACAAGTAAATCTTTCGTCGCGGTCGCCCAGGAGGTGGTGCAACCTTTTGACGATTTTTCGAAGCAGTTGAAAGTAGATTTTAAAGAGCTTTCTATAAAAATGAATTTAGTGTGAATTTTTAAAGAATATCCGCGGTTTTGAAAGCGGGAAGTTCGAAATATATGGTCTTTTCTTCTTAAATGTCTTCAAAAAATAGCAAAACTGGTGTTCGAAGCGTGGCGCCAAATTTGAATTAGTTTGGCGGCCCATGTACCAACAAAGCCAATATATATTTTGCGTTCGATTCTCTTCTTTAAAAATACATTCCACATTAACTATTTACAAATCTATTCGTCGTCCGATATTAACTTACGCATGCCCTGCATGTATTTCAGGTACCCCAACCACATTAAATAAGTTCCAAATAAATCAAAACACAATCTTCAGAATAACAGTAAATGCCCCCTGGTAAGTTAGACATAAGATACTTCACAACGATCTCGCAATAGAACCGATTTCTTCCTTTATTATGAAACTGGCACAATTTCTTTTAACATAATTTCTTAAACTGACAGTAATTAATAATATACAAGGAGCAGACACTTACAAAATAGGAACCCATAAACCCCCACTCTCTCGCCTAAGAAACAGACTCCCATTTCACATTTCCTTTAATATCTCTCCCACATTACATTTCTTTCATTTATCTGTCTCCCGTGCTATTCTTTTCTAAACCCTATAATTGCCCTGTAACTAATGTTTAAAGAATTTTCCTGACAATTACCTTCGTTTAACGCATAAATAATGAAATCATTATCAGGGAGGTGACAAGAAGTTACCCCTTCACTATTTGCTGATACAAAATTACTCGGCCAATCAACTGAAGAGCCTCACGGCTAAACGTGGTACTGTCAGCAATGTAAAATAAAATTGCATATATATAT